TTATGACAGCCAAAAGATGCAAAGCAAAGGAAGAAAAAAATGTCTCCCCTCCCTCCCCCTGTTACTTATGACAGCCAAAAGATGCAAAGCAAAGGAAGAAAATTTTGAAGGCTGACAGTATTTGTGAAAAGAGGCAACCATACAGTCATGACAGCAGAACGATACTATAATTAAAATTGCCTTTAGTCTACTGATTTTTTATGAAGTTTTGTCTGACTGGATCTCACTCCCCATCTCCCTACAAAATAATCAGTTCCTTCTCAGAAATAATTTTCCCATAATGTCATAAAATAAACATTTTTAAAGTGGCAAAATAAATGTATTAATTTCTTTAGAATGGAATTCTTATGGATTATGAAATTCACAAACAATGAAATTCAGAGAGCAGCTGGAAACTAGAACACGTAAGAGTAGGGTTGGGGAAACATAAGGACACGGGGGCAGGCCATGGCAGTATTCAGCTAGAGATCTAATTGGATGTACTTGCCCATTTGAATTATCTCGTCTCCCTTTTAACAAGTGTAATTTAACGTCAATTGCCAAACGGATGTAGAGCCCACAGTACAGCTCTGTTAATTACTGTAAGTAAGTGGGGGGGGGGGGCAAGCAGTAGTGATATAAAGGCTACCATACCCCCAACAGGCAACAACAAGAAAAAGAGAGGGGGGGGGGGGGGGGGGGGGGAAGGATTTTCTGGTGAGTGGATGGAAAAAGGGCATTCTAAGCACAGGATGACAAATCAATCTCTACGCAGTTCCTGAGTCTACAAAGCTTCTCTGTGTAGGATAGAATAGAATGAATGAGTGGAAGGGACCTTGGAGGTCTTCTAGTCCAGCCCCCTGCTCAGGCAGGAGAACCTATACTATTTCAGATAGGTGACTGTCTAGACTCTTCTTAAAAACCTCCAGTGATGGAGCGCCCACGATTTCTGAAGGCAAGCTCTTCCACTGGTTAATTGTCCTCACTGTTAGGAAGTTTTTCCAGGTTGCTTTTATCTTTGATTACTTTCCAACCGTTGTTTCTTGTTCTGCCTTCCGGTGTTTTGGAAAATAATTTGACCTCCTCTTCTCTGTGGCAGCCCCTCAAATACTGGGAATTTTGTCTGGGTTTTTTGTTTTTCACTCTCTTGTTGAAATAGTCTATCACAAAGCTTTCAGCCAGATTCTACACTGCTCTGAATGACTCAAACAGCTTGAAGATAACCCACGTGGGCCTAGTTCTCAGCAACCATATGGAACATCATTCATAAATAACTAAGGAACAGAACTTATCAATTCAGTGAGCTGGGGAAATTTGCTTTCAATTTAGCCACTGTCTTTATTCAATCTCCAGCAGTCCATACTGTAACTCCTGTGACATTATTCCATACTTAAAACCAGCTTTTTAAACAAAAACTTCAGAAATATTTTCTTGATAAAATTGGGCTAAATGGGTGGAAAAACTGTCCCTGAATAACTCACTAGGAAATCATTTGTATTCATCATAGGACACTAAGCAAACACTTATAAATACAAATTACAACCAAAGTAATATCAGTACATTTTACTGGATGGAATACATTGGAGTAAGATAGCTTGGTATAATAGTTAAGGCTAGAAACTGGGAGTCTATGAGTTCTAGGCCCACTTTAGGCAGAAAGCTGAGTGACTTGGGACAGTCCCTCTTTCTTATCCCTATGAAGCAAGCAGTGGCAAACTACTTCTGAAAACTACAGGGAGCTGTTCAAGTAGTCATCGGGAGTCAATATTGACTCAAAGGAAGAGTAATAACAATAACAAGGTCATGGAAAATTTACAAAAGCAGCTTAGAGCATTTTCTAGCTCTTTCATCTTGGTATATTTAGGAAAGTGTGACTAACACTAACATCGATCACTTTTAAAAGTAGGAGATGATTCTATAGGCAAAGGGTATTTTTCATGTGCAGGTCTCATAAGGGTAGCATAAAGAAGAGATCAAAATTATTTTGTGTTTTAAGTCCTATTTTGTCCTGTTTTGTTTTATTTTACAATAAGTGCGACTAAAAGCTATAGTTCAAAGCATTGTACGTTGGACAGAATTCTACAACTGTGGCTTTCAGCACATGAAGCTTTGAGTATCTGGATGATAGACACTTTGATCCATTATGTTCTGGGCTAAGAGAAAAGCCATCCCTTTTCTCTTGAACCACAGAGATGCTACCTCTGAAAACATGACTCAAAGCCTTAATTTCAGAATAAAGAACAGTGAAAAGATAAGGAATGGTAAAGGGGCAGTAACAACATAGGTAAGTAAAAACATTGTTCCTTGCCTGTGCCTCGATTATTTTCTGTTTAGCATCAATGGTCGCTTGCATTTCTGCATGGTCTTTCTTTAGTTCCTCTTCCACAGCCATTAATCTAAAAGAAAGGAAAGAAAGAATTTGGAGAGTAATCTTTCTAGATATCTGGAGCATCACAAAAGAAAACAAGACAAAACATTGGCTTAATAAAGATACTAAAGATGAAAAGATTGCCATCTGCTGTTTTATTCCTTGAGCAAGCATTTCAATGAATAAGCTCTAAATTGTTTGAGTGGGTGCTACAAAGACATTGGGATGCCTACACCAGCTCAAATATCATCATCTACATGAATTGGGATTTCAATTTCCAGAATTCCCAGTTTGTATGTCTAAAACCACTTGGCCTAAATTGCACTGCCGTAAAACAATATAAACTACACAGGCTTTGAACTCAGGCTGCCTAGTATTGAAGTAATGTGGGCTAACAACATCAAATAACAGGATTAATTTGGACTAAGAGCAACCTATATGCAAGAGAAACATTTCCATTTAGCAAGCAACGGTCACATTTCTTCATAAGGAATACCACTATAGGGAATAGAGAGGATTTTCTTTCTATCTTCAGCCTCTCCCTTCCTAACCTGCTGATGATGCTCTTCATCTGGCTATCTTTCTCTTCCTGCTGCTTTCGCAGCCGCTCCTTGCTATCTTCCATCATTGATCTGTGCTCTAAAATGAGTTGCTGCATTTGTTGTTCCTGCACGAGGAGGCGCTGCTCATACTCCTCCAACCGGTGACTTGATGCCTTCAGGCGGTCCTTGAGCTTGACAATCTCTTCCTGATACTGAAGATGGGAGGAAGGGAGATAAAAAGTTTCATTATTTATTAATTCATGAGCCAGGGCTCAAGGCAGCATAAGAGAAATAATAAAAAGTCATTACTAGAAGCTTTGAATGCTTTCATTTCTTCCTAAATAAAAAGCAACAAAAACAAACAATTGAAGCCAGTAATATGAGAAAGAAACAATTGAAAGCCCTAAATAAATTATTTAAAAATAATTTCATTTCAGAAACTTATAACTTTTTTCATATATGGAACTGATATTTCAAACAGGTCCTACACTGATACAGGAGTATCACCAGCTTCCCCTAAGCATGTTGGACTAGTTATAAAGGACTTTATGTGAAAACACTGAACTGAATTTAGAAACATACTGGCAATCTTGGCCAATATAAAGAAATGTGTTTGGACAGCTTCATTCATTGTCACTAGACCATGCAGCCTCTTTTCTTAGCTGGAGCTTCCGAGTTGACTTCTAAGGATAATAGAGCAGGAAATCTTGAAGGATGTGACAGCATGGATTAGTTTTTTTAGTACCCCGAGTATCCAAGAACGGGTCCAGCAAGAAAAGCAAGAGAAGCAGCCGCAAAGTATTCTGCTCTTACAAGAGCCTGAATTAAAAATAACTCTCTGAATACAAACATTTTAAAAAGGAAATTGAATCCCAAAGAATAGTAAAATTAATTCAATGGTTGTGAGAGTAGCCATCTTAAAGATTCCTGATTTATCTGAACACAACTTCTAGCCCACAATTATCTGACCTAGCTTCCAGGCCCTGACAAAGGAAAAACAGCAACGTCTAGATGTTTGGTAATTGAAAAAGAGAGCTGTGCAACTTTATACTGAGGATCTCTGTACATTATCTTTTTCCAGTGACTTTTTATAGATGGGGCTAGGAGCTAGAACCTAGATAACTGTTACCTTTTCTGTATGATTGGCTTCATCTGGGTTTTGCTCTGCCTCTTCCTCCACTTGCTCATACTGTCCACTGTTTAAGACCCAAGCAGCTGTCCTTTCCACAGGTGACATAGGGGGAGAATCTACAGGTGACTGCATCTGCAGGTAGAACGATATGGATCTCAAATGCATTTACATTCCAGAATTGGTTTTTATGTTTGTTCCAGGTATTGTCAACTTTCAAAACGACTGGCTGAGGCTTTTTTTTTTTTTTTTTGCTTCTCAGTTGCCACACAGATGGGGGCAGGATAGGAGGTTTGGAATGCTATTCTACTGTGCTAGACAAAACACAGGCAGTGGCTGGTAGAGCCAAGGTCATCTCAACAAATGTTGAGTAAGAAAGGAGGGGAGTGCCTGAAGAGCCTGCCATTTACCCAGCTGGGCAATGTGATCTGTAACACTTGAGGGGAGGGAATCATTTACTCTTTTAATTATACTGAACTATTTAGAAATATTTAGAGTTGGCTTCACATTTGAATTGTGCCGATATGATGTACCCAATAAAGAGAATCTTTGAGAAGAGTTCCAGTCTCAGAGTTTTGACTTGGTTGGGATCATTATTCGAAACCATGACATCAAGCCAACCCTACTAAACCAAGCAGGCAGAGCTGGAGATACGAGACTTGAAGCAGAGGGACCGGCCAGTGAAGGAGTATGTTTGGGAATTCCAGAGGGTTGCTGGGAAGCTACGGTACTGGCCTGAACGACTGCTCATCTACCACTTCAAAGAGGGCCTTGACAAGGAACTGTGCCATGTGTGTGTTTACAGGGCTCCCTGGCCAGATCAACAAATGGTACTGGCATATTATGGTTTAGACATTGAAGTGAGGAGTTGCAGACTGAGAGGCGACACTGATGCAAGACCGAGAAGGAGCCAGGAGAACCGGCCAACTGAGAGGCAAGTAACCTCAACTGTTCCAACCGATCCATTGGTGGGACCAACCCAGGCCCTTACCCACTGTTTCCTAAGGGCCACAGGGACACTGAGCTGCTGATTGCCTGGCGCCTACCCCAAAACTGAAGGCTGGGTCACCGGCCGTGACGGAGCTGAGGAAGCCAACCTGGAAGACATCAGGGAAGGCTAGTCTGGCTCACCAGGTCGTAGAGATCCCCTCTGGCTCAACCAGGGAGGGTAGAACTCCAGCTGGAGTCACCACCTGCGCCCCATGATAGCAATGATTAGGAAGAAAGCAACCTGATAATGAGTGAGGCCATCCGCCCTTTCGCTATTCTCATGAGGATCATGGTGCCCAAGTCAGGAGTTCAGGGGAGGATGCCCCAATGGACTCACTCTGTGTTTAATGAGCCTGCCGACTGTGTTGAAACTGGGAATCCCCAGCTACCCAGGACCATGAGATTCGAGCAGGTCAATGGCTTACTAATGGGGGGGGGGGGGAAACCCCTGCTACACACCTGACTGAACCAGTGAGACTAGAAATGGGCCAGCACTGGGAGAAGATTCGGTTTGTAATAGTCCCAAAAATGACTGAAGCAGTGATCCTGGGACTGGCCTAGCTGGGCAAGTGGGGCCCAATAAAATGGTGGGAAGAGGGAAACAGGAAGATAGGCTAGGGAGAGGCCCTCTTCCTCCTCCACACAACTAAGACATGCTACACCTCCAGCGAAATGCAGGTGATAGATAGCCTGAATACTCAAGTGCAGCGTCGGAGCAACCACCGGGGACCCAGATCATCCCCAGAGATTACCAGGATCTGGCATAGGTATTCAGTGAGAAGGAATGTGATATACTGCCTCCATCCCACCCCACAGATTACTCAACTGAAATCATACCAGGGATGAAACTTCCTAAGCCAAAATGTACTCCATAACCCCCAGGGAGCTGAGGGAGTATATGGACAAGAGCCTAGCCAGAGACTTCATCCAACCAACAAAATCCCGAGTGGCAGCCCCAGTTTTGTTTAAGGAAAAAAAAAAAGATGGGACTATGAGATTATGCCTTTACAGGGATCAATGGAATATGTGTGGAAACAGGTACCCCCTTCCTCTGATGAACAACATGCTGGCACACCTGGCTAAGGGAAAGATATTCGCCAAACTAGACTGGAGAAAGGTATATTACCAGGTCAGGATCAAAGAGAGGGATGAGTGGAGTGGAAAACGGCATTCAACTGCCCACTTGGAAGCTTCCAGTTCAAAATCATGCCGTTTGGCCTACAGGGAGTCCTCACAGTGTTTATGCAGCAGATTAATGAAGTGCTACACGAGCACCTATATAAGGGGTCCTAGTTTACTTGGTGACATCCTGATCTTCACTGAGACAATGGAAGAACTTTTCAAGCTAGTCTGCCAGGTCCTTAGAAAACTACTGGCCTATATGCTAAGTTGTCCAAGTGGGACTTCCACCAGACCCACCTAAACTACCTTGGTTACCAAGTGTCAAGCAAGGGAGTGGAAATGGACCCTGCAAAACTGAAAGCCATCTTGGAGTGGTAACCATCTCAAAGCACAAGCCGCTACAGAGCTTTCTGGGGTTTGTGAATTTCTAATGGCAGTTCATCCCTTCATTTGCAAAAGTAGCCCTGCTGATCACAGACCTATTGAAGACAGGAAGCATGGCGGCTAAGCCCCAACCAAGCCAGCCCCTCCAGTGGACTATGAAATGCCAGAGAGCATTCAAACATTAAAGAGGTTGTTCATAAAAGAGCTGATCCTAAAGCACCCCGACCCCTAGGAGCCTTTTGTTATTCTAGTGATGCCAGCAATGTGGCCGTAGGGGCTATCCTCTTTCAGAAGAATGAGGGGTGGGGATTTACAGCTATGTGCCTATACCTCTTGGAAACTCATTGATACTGAGAGGCAGTGGGCCATAAGGAAAAAGGAGGTTTTTGCCATTTGATGGGCGCTACTGACCTGGCAACATTTCCTGGAGGGCAGCAAGGTGCCTTTTGAAGTATGGACTGATCATAAACATCTGGAGGCCCTTAAAACCCTTCACAAGATCTCGCCCAAACAGGTCCGGTGGGCACAGTACTTCAACCGGTTCAACTTCACCTTAAAACATATCCCAGGGGGAAGAAACTTCCTGGCCGATGCTCTTTTGCGAATGCCCCAGTAAAAGAGCAGCATGGAGGAAATGGTCAATGCAATCATCCCCCTCCCTCAGCAAGCAGCCCAAGTGACCACGAGGTAACGAGCTAGAAAACAGTCGGCTGAGCTGACCCAATGAGTTGACCCAGAAGCTCAAGGCCGAGCTACAATCCGACCCTGGTTCAAAGACCATCAGCAAACCAAGGAGGGATTAGCATGAAAGGGGACCAAACTGTACATCCCAAGTACTCTACGAGTCCAAGCTTTGCAGAGAAGCCATGATGCCAAACAAGTTGACACTTCGAGTTTTTGAAAACCCTACACCTGACCAAGAGGCAGTTTTGGTGGCCAAGAATGAAAAAGGATGTAGACAGTTATGTTAAAAGCTGTGTGACTTTTGCAACAATGAAGAAGAGACCGGGGAAGCCCCCCGGGTTATGCAACAAGTAGCTAAGCCGACCCTGGGAGGAAATCACGATGGACTTCATAATGGAACTCCCTGAGAGCAGTGGAAATATTTAGACAGTAATTGATTTATTTTCAAAACAGGCTCACTTTATAGCCTGACCCAGACTACCCTTAACCACAAACTTGCAAAGCTATTCCTGAAGCACATCTACCAGCTACACGGAGTACCAAGGAGAATCATCTCAGATTGGGGGGTTCAATTTACAGCCAAATTTTGGAGGGAATTTGTACAGTCAATTGGTTCCTCCCAAGGTTTTAGCTTGGCTTTTCATCCAAGCACCAATGGTGCAGTGGAATGAGCTAACCCAATGGTGGAACAATACTTGAGATGTTACATTAATTACCAGAAACCAATTGGGCAAAGCTCCTGCCGTTTGCTGAAGTTGTGTATAGCAATGCAGTGCATAATAGCATGGGACTTACTCCCTTTAAGGTAATGAATGGAGTGGAATTTGTCCCAATGCCTGAGTACCCTCAGGAACCCTCTTCCTCAGTCAGTCTGTCAGAGTGTGTCGATTAGTTGCAGAGCGCTTGGGGAAATGTAAAGCAAACACTAACTAAAGTGGCAGAGGTTCAAAAGGAGCAAACAGATAAGAGGCAGTCCCCTCAGAGATCGTTTCATGTTAGGGAAAAGGTTTACTTCTCCACTAAATATTTAAAATTAAAACTGCCTTGCAAGATCCACGGGAAATATTTAAAGTTGGCTTCACATTTGAATTGTGCAGATATTAAAGAATCTTTGAGAAAAGTTACAGTCTCAGAATTCTGACTTAGTTGGGATCATTACTTGGAATCATGACAGAATGTTTGCAACTGTTTTAATAAATCATAACTAAGAGCACTAAGTTTGAGTACAAGCTTAGAATTTCATGGCTGCATCTGTGGAAGACTTTGCCAGGCCCCGCTCCATATATCCACCCTGAACCAACTTCACTAGCTTGGATGTAGTAGTCTCTAAACATATTCTTCTGTTGCTGAAATGCACATTATATCAATTTATAGCAACTTCAGCATCTTAGAAGAAAGCTTTAGAATATCTGAACACGAAGAGAGAGAAAGCTGTGTAAATATGATATGCATATCTGGTCATACTTAAGATGCCCACGAGTACTCAAAGGCTTAAGAAATTGTAGCTTCACTTTAGTTGGAAAGTTACTTTAAATTTGACAGTGATAGCCAAGCTATCTTTGGATGACAAAGCAGAGCTCTCTGTGCTCTAGGCAAGTACTGGTCTTCTGCAGTAGGACCACTGTATAGAGCAGGGCTGTCAAGCTCCTGGCACGCAGGCCAGATGCATCACGCATTGGCCACACCCACGCCCAGTTTAGTGAAGGGGGAAAAAGTCCCAATACATCATGTGACGCCGCCATGAAGACATGAATTTGACATCCCTGGTATAGAGGAAGCAAGGAAAGACAGTTATATTTTGCTGAGATGTACATAGAAGAACACGACAGCATCACCACATGATACGCTATTAATTGGAACCCAACATATAAGTAAAGTGAGTATAACCAGTGACTGTATTCTTATTTCCTGCTGAAAGAACAGAAAATATGCTGTATCAGCTTCCTTGCTATCCA